CATGCTCTCTAGAGCTCTGAATTTCAGCAATAGGAATGGAAAGAGAAGAGCAGAAAATGGATCAAGAGACACAGACCGCCGATGCAGCGGGGAGGAAGCACGGCTTCACCAGCAGAACTCGCGGACTCTGCCTGGGCATCTCTCCGCCGCCGTCATGCCCCAGCCTCTCCCTCCTGGAAGCCTCAACAGAACAACCCTGGGGTTTGCAAAGCGTCCGTTCCTTTAAGTTGCGTGGGGGAAGACAGCCACTCTTCCCCCATTTAAGTATAAAAACCACAGAGGCCCCTACACCTCTCGGATCTCAGCAGAACATCAGTTACAAACGTGCTTTGCCGACTGCAGATAGTGATGGTAGCGAGGTAAAATTCAAGTTTATCTTGAATGACACCATGGAAAGGATGTGTCGTTGTATTCTGCAAAGTCATAGAAGGGAAGAGAAAGGTTTCTAAGCTAAACAAAATAAGGACCAGGTCGGGCAAATGTTTCATCAGGTGCGTCAAGTATCCAGAACCAAAAACATGTTAAAACAACAACAAAAGCCCTTCAAAACTTCCACCTCCTTGTATTAAATTAAAATTACCTACAATAGATGAATCAAGTAATTAGAAAAATTTTAAATGGGCCTTTTGTTTGTAACGTCTACAGGTAGACTCCTATGCTCAGATATTAGTTCCTAAGAAATAAAGTTTTTTAAAGCACTGACCTGAATTAGAAGGTCTGTCAACTTCAAACCCTGATGGGGAGTAAGATCAGACTGAAATGTTTCAGACTTCCTGACTCGTGAAGGTTCAGTACATCTGTTATCATCACAGCAGTTGGTAATACCACAATAAATATCGAAAAATCTGGTTATTAACTTGCGTACTGCATGTTTCCATTTCATATCACATATATGCCTTGGAAGTTTCTTTTTCAGAACAAACTGCTGGAATGTATGACTTCTTACAGGTAAAACCTTTATATGAGCAGGAAAGGAACAACGCCATAGAGATGCAGCGCAAGATGGAAATTTGGAAGCTCTCATTCAAGTCTCTGCTGTGAGAAAGACTCTTTGCGCAACCTCGTGCTACTCTTGAGATTCTCTGCAGCACGGTACTTTGTTCCACTTTCTTCTTGTCAAAGATTTGTGACAAATACTCACGATCGCCCCTTGGCACTCTGACGCTGAGCCATGTCAGAATGCCAACTAGTAGAAACAAATTTCTGACTGATAAGAAGCTTAAAAACAAGTACAAAATGCCTAATAGCAAATAAAGACTGTAGAAACTAGTAATGTTTAATTAAAAAAAAACTAACAGTAGATAACAGCAAAACTTTCGTTTCACACAAAAGATAGCAGAGCTAAAAATTACTGTCATTTGATTGGAGATTGTAAAAAAAAAAAAAAAAAGTATTTCACAGATTTTCTGCCGACCCTATTTGGAAGATGACAATACAGTCCCAACCTAAACTTCCATTAAACTTAAAAAAAAATAACCAAGAGTTCTAGATGAAGCAAATTATCACCTTCTGAGAAGCTGTGCATGTAGAAATCCTTTCCACAGTACTAAAAAAATGCCACTGAATTGCACCCTGCAAACTGAACCTTCTAGCAGCTTAATTTGAAAGTGAGGCAGATAACCCTAATAAAAAAAAAAAATAATCATAGTCTGAGATGGAACTTCAAAATTAGTTCACTTAATCATACCACAACACGCAATTTTTATGAAGATGTAATTTGATTTCTGTATTCTGCTTGGTGTGGCATTCATCTGTGCAATGCTCCTGATACCAGTTTCGAAAGCACCCGGCACACTCGGATACAAATATAGCCAAGAAAGGATTAGTTTCATATGTACAATGATGAAAGTGATCCAACTGGAAAGCCTGCTGCCTAACAATTCAAGGCACAGAGTGTGATGAAAAGGACTACTGGTGCCTCATGTTAACTATACGACAAAGGAAGTTAAACGGACTGTTGAGCAAACAAAGTCATAGATTGCAAAATTATTCCTTCCACAGTTGGCACAGTGAACAGGATTCACCCCCATCCAATTCCACTGAAGACAACAGACTCAAATGTTATGAATATTTGAAGCATCTAACAAACCTAGATCAACATCAAATTAAGAGGAAAAGAAAGGTTTTTTTTTTTAAATCAATAAATTAACACAGACAAAAATAGAAATATTTGACACTCAAACAAAGCTACTGAGGCAACATTTAAAAGCGTCTGTAAAAACACTGGATGAAACTTGAACGCATCAATTGGCTGCAATTCCTCTCTGCCCTCCTCTCCTGGAGACTTCCAGATTCTGATTTCCACCTCTCACAGGAATCATCTGAGCTGACGAAGACTTTGAGATGAGTAAGGCAACTGAACAACAGCCTGGCTGTTAGGAATGCTCTAACTGAACCTTAGCTGCAAAGCAACAACAGCTGCAAGCGTGCGTCTGCATCTGTAACAGCCACCACGCTTTAAGCACAATTCCAGGCTTATAGCCGAAGTAGCAACTGCTTCATCCCAAGTTAAATCTCTGTGCCATGATTTAGACCCCTTACCACTTTTTGAGATTTTCCATATTCTCAAAAACTAGCATACCACGCTCCTATTTAAACCCTCTAGTCGTGCCATGAAAAAACACACCAAAAGAGCAATGATGATTGCTGTCCAGCTTCTGCTGAAACCTGAAACTGCCATTTTTAGAGTTTTAGGCCCGAGCAGATTATTTTCTTCTACTAAATTTAATCAAATGCTATTTCAATGTTAGATTGCATCAATTCAAAGATTTGGAAGTGTTAGATAAGGTGAGGAGTCACAGAAGAGCTATTGGGAGTTTACCTGAGAGGCTGTTCCAAAAATACCATACGCACACGCTTTGATATTAGTGACTAAAGCCCTTAAATTGTTCCCCAAAGCCCACCTTTGCCATAATACTTACAAAACACTCGAGAACAATTAGCCACGCTGATGTGCTGTGAGCTTATTATACCATTTATAAATGACTCACTACACCCTTACGCTCTGCTCCCCCCACGGCTGTCTGTGTCTCTAACCAAAATTCAGGCTGCAAGAGCTCTGCAGGACGAACCACCGGTACCGGGTCCGTGCAGGGACCACGGCGTGAGCCCCGGCTCCAGACACTGTCTAATTACAAAAGACAACAAGAAATGTCGGCGTGAAGGCATCAGGGTTCAGACGACCTTTGTTCTTAAAGTTTCAGGTGAACTAAGGAAGAAGTTTATCTTGAGAGGTTTGGACTGCGGATGAAAAACGTTGAAAGCAGACCAAGGTATGACTTAAACGCGCTTTGCAACAGGGCTCTGAAACCCAAACTAGGCAGGAAGAGCTGGGGCCTCTGCCCCATCCTGCCCAGGGACAGGGACACACACATACCCTAAGAGGAACCCGTGTCTATCAGCAAAGAGTGCCGACAAGCTCAAGCCATGCCAGGAGTGTGCTCCATCTTGCTGGTCTCTCCTATCTTCCCCGTTTCCTCGCAAGACTGCACTGGAGTAAACATGGGTGGGCAGCGAGGATGGTCTGCAGCAATCGTTGCGTGTGGCAAGACAGACACAAACCATTATCCTCCAGGGCAAAGCACGACGGACGAGAGGCCGGGGCTCACAGCAGGCCAGAGAGGAGCGTGCACGTACGCTTGCGGGAGGGACAGGGTAGAGTACTAAAAAAAGGATGATCTTAATCTATAACCACAGTAGACCTGAAACCATTTAACAAAAATACAGTCTTCCCTTTGGCCAAGAGAATTACCCCAATCCTAAAAAAAAAAAAAAATAAAAAATAATCACATCACTTTTCCCTAATATATATTCCCACGACGACTAACAGCACACACCCACCGTAACGCGCGAGCTCACAGAATTCCCCAGGCGCACTGCAGCCCGTGCACCGACTGGGAGCACGAGGAAGGAAGGGAAGCGCAGGCAGTCGCGGTGTCAGACCTGCTCTGGGACCAGAGGTGTGGCGGGGGAGAGCCCCGGACCAGGGACAGGGTGAGGTAAGACGATGCAGACTGTAATCCGTTATTACAGGAATACTCAGTTCACTTTCATTTTCCAATATGGCATCAGTAAAAAGACAAGGATATTCTTTAGGAAAACTAATCAACTTGAGGGTCATACTGCCTTCTTAACAGCATTACAGTACTCAAAAATCTGTCATCTAAGCTAGCTTGAAAAAGCTGTGGTCAATGAGATTTTGTTTCTCAGTTACTGACTTTGTTTGACCAGTCAGATACACGTTTGCCAACAGGATTTAGCTCCTGCTATATTCGAACCATCTTTAATCCCACGAAGGCTAAAGAAAAATGTCTCTCATTTAGCTCTGCGCACTTATGAATAACTCAAATACTACAGTTAAATTTACAACATAGTTCCCTTAGCTGTTTAGAAGACAATTGTTTTCTTTCCTTTCCCCTTAAGTTCTAGTATGTAAAATATCAGAAGAATTCAGATTAAAAAAAAAAAAGGGGGACATGTTATTTTTAAAGTTGTTCTTGAGAAAATTTCCACATACAAAACTGTGGCATTTCTCCACTGTTTTGAGAATAATTTTCACATGTTGGCATCGTCCTCGATGGCTGCCACAACTCTGGTATCATAAAGCGACATGTATTTTCTCTTAGCTTATCAAAACACATTTTATTTAACTGCTAAATTTGGTCTGATCCAAGTTTTTCTTCTTACTTCACAACAAACAGGAAAACGCAGATGCGGTACTCTGCTCGCACACATGCATCCTACCAGAGGGACGGGGCACAGAAGCCAGGTCAGTCCTCCTAAGGGTACGACTGCTCACATCACGTCGCTGCACTCATGGCTCAGTAAGACTTTAAGTTCACACTAAAATGTTCACATTGTTCACCACTCTTCTAGAAGTCCTGTCTAGGTAGCACTGAAAAACAAATTTTTTGGCCCCTTCTGTTTTGAAGCTGGAACACTGTATCAATATACTTTGGCATATATTAAAAAATCCCTGTAATATACCATATACTGTGACATTTCCACTTCAGCTCTATCATTTACATGTGAAGCACGAATCTCGAAAGAACCTAGTAAAGCTGTAAGAAAGACTACATTTTGCCGAAGCTCTCAGACACCCACTCCATTCAGTCACACCAGCTGGAGAGGTAAGTGTCAAGATACAGCTTTATTCTTAAAATGAATATGGAGGTGAAGCTCCACAGCCTCCTCCACAGAAATATTTTTTTAAAGTTAAATCACAATGATATGTGCTCCCGATTCTTCTATGTCAGCAGCATTTCTCAGAAACCTTTTTGCAAATCTGGACATCTGAAAATCATATTTAACTTATTTTTGCAATTTACAGAATTGTCCCTGCACTTCCCAGTCCAGCTGATAGGCGTCTCAGACGTGACATCCATTGGAAGATCTTTTGCTCCTAGAGGTAGAGGAGTCCTTAGCTACCCTCTGTCTAGCGCAAGAGGCACAAATAGCCCCCGAGAGACGCTTAAGCCCCTTCTGAAAGACACTGTTGGAGAGACTGTAAATGACACAGTTGCAGAAACTGTTGCTAATGGCAAGCCAAGTGGTCAAGAAGGACGCAACGCGGTTACTATAGACATTGGAGCTCTCCAGCAGAAAATAGATTATGTAGGGCAACCAGAGGATGTAGAAGACACTGGTGATGCGGAAAAGAACCATGGCATAGCGCTTGTCCGGGCAGGGCTGTGCCTCCCCAGCCTCCCCATCCTGAGAGCTGAAGCGCACTCGCCTCTCGTTGATCTCCTTGGTGTGCTGCTGGCAGATGCGGAAGATGTTGAAGTAAGTGAAGCAGACGATGAAAGCAGCCGGGGCATAGAGCATCACCACAATGAAGAGGGTAAAATAGGGATCGGTGTTCCAGGAATTGGCACACCACTGAAACACGTCCCCGTGATATCCAGGCTTGCCCCAGTGAAAGGAGGGTAAGAAGACCAGGCAGGAGTACAGCCAAATGATCAGTATGCAGGTTCGAAGTCTCCACGGGGTAACCAGCGTGTTGTAGGTCAGCGGCTTCGTGATGGCAATGTATCTGTCAATACTAATGCACGCCAAAGAGGCCATGGAGAC